GATTGAATTCACCATACCATCGATAAACACTGGTCCTTGATGGAGCTTCATCGCCAAAAATTAAATTATGATCATCCATGCACTGTTGCTGAGTTAATGTACGTCGAAAGTTGTTAAAAATAATCGCACGAAAATGTTCACGATTTACTTCCATTTTTGGGCCAAGATGAATCGTTTAAGTTACTGTAAACAACACAAAAATCGCTCGTATATCAAAACGCTTTGAGTACGTATAACCTCAAAACATCCAACTTTATGATAGAGCTGGCAGTTACCAGATTGCAACACCAGGGTTGCCAAATCCCGAAACATAAAAGGCAACCTTCGTAATACTGTTCGCACAAAAACAGTACGGCGTGAGCTTCATAATCCTAACATTAATGGAAGGACTGCAATAGCGAAATCTTTCTGAATGGAAGGCAGTGTAAAGCTGAGAAAGAAGTGATGTCACGATAATAAAAACTGGACACTTGACGACTGGGAGACTATGGTGTGATCCAATGAATTATCGTTACATTCTTTCAAACGGTCGGGTTTATGTATGGAAAACCTAAAAAAAAGCCCTCGATCCTGCCTGCTTCCTGCAGTCAAGTATTGGAGAAGTTGCGTTATCGTTTGGACTGCTGTAACGTGGTATTCAGCTAGTTCTTTCTTTCTTTACCCCCAATGGCGGGCGATGGTGTAACGGTTAGCGTACTGGACTGTTGTACCCAAGTTGGCGGGTTCAAACCCGATCGAAGCCGTGGATTTTTAAGGGCGAACGCCTTCCTTCGGAGGGGAAGTAAAGCCGGCTGTCCCATGTTCGTAGATTTACTTGCATGTAAAAGATCCTCAAGCCTAAATGACGCCTCTGAGCTAAATTCAAGTCGCCTGTTTCTCGCCCAAGATACCTCCTTTCTCCGGTAGTTGGTGAAAGGAGCATAGCGAAATTTGCGTGGTCAGACGGAAGAGCAGGCCTAATGGCCTGAGTCTCGCCACGTAAAATAAGGCATAATTCAATTCAATTCAATGGCCGGATTACTGCAAATGAGTATCACATCTTCAACAATGATGTGCTTACAGTAACTAGCATATTGTTGCGAAACATTGCCATGTTCTAAGATGGTGATGCGCCCATACTCACAGCAAAAAACGTTCAAGAGTAGTTTGCGGAGCATCAGAACATCATTTAACATCTTCCCTGGCCAGTACAATCGCCAGACCTCAACAATAGAACCGTGTGGGCTGTTTTAGAGCAGAGGGCGGCGCTGTTTTCAGCTTCGACATCATTGAAGCAATTTTGGGATGTTGTGGTACATGAATGGGAAAACATTCATTTGGAAACTATTTAGGTATTATAAATCTATTCCGCGACGAATTGCAACTGTTCTAAATGTAAGTGGTGGCCTAACTCTTTATTAATAAATAAGATTTGTATATATGTTTCAAATAAATATATATTTATATTTTTATATATGTGTTCATATTATTTTTTCCAATCACTATATATTCGAAACGAGTCGTTCATTGTTGATTGACACCGCCGCGCTGGAAACGATGGGCAGTAGCGAAAACCGCGACTGCCGCCAACCCCATTTGTATTAACTTCTAATTTTTTTGAAGGCTAAAATACTCGTCGGGTGTGTTCTTCAATACACCGAATTCAGTGTCAGAAATGTAGGTTCATTTAAATATTTAAAGTGTAAGAGTGGAATTATGACATATTTGCGAGAAAGTATGTGCCATTGGAGCACCACTAGTTTTATCTGTTGTAGTGAACTACTACCAAATATTATGCTGATATTTATTAAGATAATTGTATTCATCCATTTTTGAGAAAATTATCGTTTGATAGGGGTTTTCTACTGCCAGATTGATCTACGATTCTTAATTTAGAACGTAATTAGAATTTTTGTAATGCTTGATTGTAATTGTATTATATTTTGTTTTCTGGTTGGTACTGTATTTACCCGAATATAAGATGACCCCGTGATGTTGTAGAGGCCTGAGAATTTACTAACTTATTCGTACTCTTTTAGTCAAAATAAAATCGCAAATTACCTTACTGACTAGAACATTGTATTTTGCCTTATACCTTAGAAACAACATCATCATTTTGTCTCTTCCATCTTCATCTTCACATGTCATTAATTCTGCCTATCTGGTCCTTCTTCCATACTATGTCAACTGATTTTTATCCCCCCCTCTAAAAGTTTTGCGTTTTGAAGTTGCGTCTTTCATCCCACGTGACCTAAGGACATTGCCTTTTTGTCGCGCGTGTTCGTAGCCTCTGATTCTTTAACAACCATTAACTTTAAATTCACGTTTTCTGCAAACTCATACGCTACATTTCCCTCTCTCCGTTTCTTGTGAGGCAGCGAAGTTACTAACGTTTGGGAAGGTTTTGAGAACGTTTTTTATTATTTTGTCTTTGTGAATAGATGTAGAATGCGGTCTTTTATCAATATTAATTTTTACTTTCTCGCCTTACGAATTCTTCGTTAGCAGGGAAAGTTATGTAATCGTAATCAGAAAAAACAACAACAACCTATTGCCGGATTCTGGTAACGAAAAAGTGGATAAATCCTGTTGCTAAAAAAAAAAAACCAACAACCTAAGTCATGATTTAGCCAGAATCCGTGTTTTATTGGTTCTTGATACCGAAAAATCGATTGACAGCAGAACATCTGCTTGTCATTCCGTATGTGGTCAACGCTTGCGGCTAAACGTTTCAGCCGGTTTTCTCCAAACTTAATATTCCCCAATCGATCTGATGTTGCGGTCGATGGAATTTCAAACTGATATTTTAATTTAGGGGGAGGTACTTCACATGAAGCCCCTCGGGCATTCTCAAAATTTTCAAAAAAGAAAAATGCTCAAAATTGTTTGATTAAATTTTGTTGTTTAATCGTGCGAAAGACGTTTAAGAGAACGGTGCAGGTCTTGTATTCGGTGATATCACCGATTTTTCGAAAATAGTAAAAACAGTTTGTAAAAGGACAAAATAAAGTTAGAGATTTTTGGTTCAGATAAAGTCTGTTGTACAAAATTACCACTTTAGAAAATGTCATGTACAATTTTTTGAAGAAACTAGTAGATTCTGCGTAATGTAAGCATTTTCGGGTATTCTCGTTTTTTGAAAATTGCTAAAACATTTCAAAACTACAAATTTGAAGATTGAGACTTTTGCGTCAAAGTTTGTAGTACAAAATTAGCTATTTAAATAAATAAATAAAATAAATAAATAAGTAAATATATAAATAAATAAAAAATACTAGTGGTGCTATAGAATGGCTCAGACATTCTCGCTCTAGTTAGTTTAGTTTTTTATTCTTTTTACTCTTGACCAGCTTTTGCGATAGGCGTCATTGTCTTCTAGCCTGTCTTCTTTTGTCGCCCGAAAAACAAACATTTTTCACATTTTCGTAATTACTCAGTGGTGCGAGTCTTCGTCGGGAATTATTATTTGCGACAATTCTGTATTGCCGCAGAAAGAATTGATAATTCCAGAAAAAAATATTGAAAACCATTTGAAGCAATTATAATCGCAAATACTCTTAATCAAGATAAATAAATTGGATGTGTCTGTGTGATTTTCGAATTTACAACTTTTTAACAATTTTTCACATCTCTTATTGAATTTGTAAAACGTATGAACCATCAAATAATTTTTTTTATTTTTTATTTTTTTTTTTCACTTAGGACTATTACAGAAGTGCAAAATCTCTGTATAACCCGAGTAGCCGAAGTGGTTGAATGTCGGGTTCGGACTCAGTGTTTCGGAGGGAAGGGCTGCTGGCTCAATTTCTCACAACTCTCTTTTGCCACATAAAGCTATTTAGAATTTCAGAAACTTTATTGAAACATTATTTGAAGCAATTCTACTCACATATACAATTTATTAAGATTCTTAATAAACTGGGTGTGTCTGTATGTCATTTTAGTATTTTGAAATTTTAAACACGTTTACAGCTATTGTGCCCTTGTAAATCGTATGTCACACTGAATCAATTTTTCAGTATAATATTCAAATCAATATAATATCTAGGAGCGTTTAGAAACTGTGCGTTGGCAGCACCACTAGTGTCATTTGAAGCTCTTGCAAATCGCAAACTCAACGAGCGTCCCGAACCAAGTCCTTGCGGCTTTGTCAAACATCATGAGCGTGGGCTCATGATGTTCAAGAATCAATATGATGGCTACTGATGCATACCGTTGAAATCGTTTTTCAGCAAAAGCTCAGTGTAGTAACAAAATTTCAACGATTTTTAATCACTTTAACTTTGCGTTTCACTTACAATGCCATTGATTTTAGGTTATCTCTCTACTGGTTCATTGAAAAGCGATGTACTGAATCCCCCGGCAAATTCTCGTAGGGTCATGGATGCCAAGATTTCGGTCGCGACCGGAGCGCCGCTTCCTTATTAATTTTAACGCACAAAATTCATATTTGGAAATGGTAAAGATATTTTATGTTAGTAGCGTTTTCTTTCCTAATTGGTCTGTCACTTATTCCAAATTCAATTCTGAAGGTCGATATTCTCAGGGGGGCGTACTTCCAGTTTGTTGTATAGAAACTTGAATTTATAAAACTATGTAAAGCGTTCTGCCGGAGTTCACCCAATCTCATAGTCAATTGCGGCAGCTGTTCACCAATTCCACTGGGATGTGGAATTTCAATTAATTACAAGCACTAAGTAGTTTGAATGTATATTATCCCCCGTTGCTCTCATTCGTTCACCATCTTATTTTTTTTTAACTTGGTGCAGTTGATTGACAACTGTTCTTATATTGGGGTAAATACTGTACTTAATAAGTTGAATGGGTGAAATAAGTAGATGCTTTTTAGATGTTGGAAATGTACCATTCTCTTCAATTAATTCTCTGTAGCTTTGAGTCCAATGTGCATGGTTGTGTGTAGTGGTAATGTGTGCATAAATGTATGGGGATGCCAAACGTAGCATGCCTTCTTGTAATTGAATGTGTCGGCTTCAGTTGTTTACGCTGTGGTCATGGCTGCCGGTGCGCATCACGATGTACCAACCTGTGCTGCTATACACGACGGAGGAGCACGGTTGCTCCCTCACCACCTTCTACGTACGTGTGGAGCAGCACGAGCCAACGCTCATGATGATCAAGACCTGCAACAACGAGGTGAATTACAATCTCCCACAATTGTATCCTTAACTTTCCAAAGCACTATTTAAAAAAGATTTAATAGTTTTATGTCTAGAAATGTCCATGTCTCTGGACCATGCATATTACGGGAGATTCAAGGAGACCACGTTTTTTAATTCTTTGCTTAATTTTTTGCTTTTGTACCCTTTTTGTTCTTGTGCGATTATTTGTTTGTAATTACTGATATGAGAGTAATTTTTTAAATATGGACCATTTGTTAATAAAAAGGAAAATACTGAATGTATCATGAAAGATAATTTTGTTCGGTATTCTTCATACTTTCTTCATTTCTACATACATTTTTAGTTTTGTTCAAACATTTGTTATACTGTTTAACAAATTTTGGAACTCAGATGTTAATGTAAACTGCTGCCTGTGAAGAATCCTTATTCCTGTCTGAAGTTCTCATTTCTACGTTGTCACTGAACCGTTGACTACCAAGAAAATCCTTTAAACATTGAAACATATGATAGACAGTAGGTACAAGGTCAGGACTATAAGGTGTATGATCCAGTTGTTTCCATCTAAAGCCTGATTAACCTTCGTGTTTGTGCAGAAACATGGCAACATTGGCGGGCGGCTCAATTTTCTTAAACATTTTAAAGTTTTACAGCTCAGCCTGTGTATTGTTCAGCCTGGCAAAGGCGTCAAAATGCGGGCAAAGTATGTTGGAATCGGACACTTGTGCACACTATGGCAATCGTGTGTCAATCTGTCTCATTCACAAATCAACCTTATTTTAAAAAAAACCTACATATTTATATTTCCGAAATTCATTAAATATTGGTTACTTCCAAATATGAATGTAGGTATGAAATCAGAAAAGTAGTTCTGTATTTCTATGAACAAAACTGCAATAAATCACTTTTATGAAATTTAAGAATCAATATAATGGCAACTGATGCATACCGTTGACATCTTTTTTGGAAAAGGTTATGTGTAATGATTGAATGTAATGTTGTAGGTCTTTGGTGCTTACTGCTCAACACGCTGGGGAGAACGCAACATCAAGGACGATCGAGGAAATCGGCAGGCATACTTTGGGACTGGAGAGACGTTCCTTTTCAGCCTGTACCCTGAGCGAGCCAAGTACCCGTGGGTGGGCATTGATTGTGTGTCGGGGGATCCCAGCATCCATCACTCAGCTGAGCTTTTCATGGCTGCTGACTCGACCATGATAACCATCGGTGGCGGGTGAGTGCTCAGTGGGGAGGGGAAATATTTCGTTCCGTCTTTACAGCTATATCTTTTTAACTTCAAAATCGGAACAAGTACTGTGCGTTCTTGTTGGGTCTAGGCATGATCAAATTGAAAATAAACACATCACATGCGATTTGAGGTCAAACTCATTCAATTAATCAGGTTTCACTTTATTATAGACAATCAGTACATTTGAAATAAAATTATCAGTTCATAAACATAGTTTATTTCACAGTCTTGCAAATACAACGTTTTGGAGTTCTATTGTCTCCATCATCAGGTAAATAATGTACAGCTAAAAAATTTTACAAAAACAGCATACCAATTAAAAATTGAATGAACAACATTGAATTTAAACATGAGGTAATATGTAAATTATCTAAGCAGAGAGCATTCAGATTAGGAAGCTTTCCTGACATGTTATAAGTAGAGTGAATTCAAATTTAGATTATGAGACATGTTGATAAATACATTTTTGTTATCTTCAATTTTTAAAATGAACATTAAATGATGGTGTGATAAGAAGTTGCTGTGATATGAGAGAAGGAAGTTAGGGTAAAAGGAGAGAAAGGGCATTTCAAATGGATGAAGTGAAAAAAGAAAGAAACTAATGATAACATTGATTCTTTATAAAATATTGTCATATACGTTAGTGAAATTATTACATTCTACTATGAGTTCACACTTTTAGATAATTTCGTATGTCAAGTTTCAGAACCTATTCAGGAAAATTTTCTAGTTTCAATATCAACAATAGTAACATTTTCAAAATCATTTGGTGACCTGTTTTTATCCTATGAGTCGTGGCAGAATTCTGACTATTGGAAGGTTCTCCAATATTTTTCTCATGTTCTTTGATTCTTTTAATATTTTCCATTTGGTCTGTCCTATGTAACATTCATCACAATTTTGACAATCAATCCTTCAAACAATATTCTCTTTTTCCTTATGTGGTATAACATTCTTCACATTTTTAATTACATTTGTTTTTTTTAAGAGATTATATCTAACCTTGAAGTTTTCATTGAATATATTTTTTATGGCTTTGTGGAATCTATTAGTAATTTCCGGAACTTAGTTAATCATTAAATTATTTGTATCATTACCACAAACATTTCTATCAATGTCATCATTATGAAGTATAGTTTGGTTATTAAAAGTCGTCTTATCCATGGATCAGAACGAAGCACCTATTGGAATATTTTTAGATCTTTCAAAAGCCTTTGACATTATTGATCATTTCATTTTACTTTCAAAATTACCTTCATATGGAATTCATGGTTTGCTCTCAATAGGTTATGTTCGTACCTTATACAATGATCTCAAAGAGTAGAAATACCTTACTGGAATAATGGAACATTATGCACACATCTTTCTGATGCCAACCTTATACAACGATCTCAGAGAGTAGATATACCTTACTGGAATAATGGAACATTATGTACACACCTTTCTGATTCTTTGCGAATTGCATGTGGAGTCCCGCATGGATCGATTTTAGGACCTATTCTCTTCCTACTATACATAAACGATATGTCCTCGATGATTAGAAATGAAAGAACAGTTCTCTTTGCGGATGATATGAATATTCTTTGCAATAAAGAAACCGTAAGTAGTACAACGTCAGATATTTCAAATTGGTTCTGTAATAACAAATTAATAGTAAATAAAAATAACACTGTTTCAATGCAGTTTTCCATTTCTGCACTCTATTGAAAATAAACGGTATGCCATTGACTGATGTTAAGGTAACAAAATTTTTAGGTCTTTCAATTCAGTCAAACCTTAAATGGAACGTCCATTTAAATGCATTGAACACTAAGTTCTTTACAACAACAACAGTTCTTAATGTTACGCTTTCAGATTTCTTTCAAATTTAGTCAGCCTACACACTGTTTGTTGTGTATATTTTGCGAATGTTCTTTTCTGCCTGAGATATGGCATAGTATTCTGGGGAAATACATCTTATATCATTACATCGCAGACTTAGATTACTGAAAATAAATGTATGAATAATAAGCAACTCCCACCGGCATGATTCTTGTAATTCTCTCTTTATTAATCTAGGTATTCTGCCATTATCTTGTCTCTTGATATATGAATCAGTGTTTTTTGTAAAAATTGACTTGCTTCAGGGCGGTAATACATTTTCAGCAAATGCTGATATCTATAACTAGAACACTCTATATAGTAATCATAGTCATCAGGTGACAGTATCTCCTGCACACTACAAAAAATTTACATATAATACATGTACATTATTTGCCAACACCTTGCCCGATGACTTAAAATGATAAAATTTGATGCAAAAGTTTTAAGTCCCTTGTAAAATCTTTTCTGCTGCACGACTTTTTCCATACAATTAGAGACTATACCTGGCATCCAAAAGCAAAGTAATATTAATTTTAACAATGACATTCAATGTATTATTTACCATTTGGATTGTATACTTCTAAAGTACCTGTAACAAGTATTGTACTTTAGCTTCTGGGTCAATGAACTCCATGTCAGTCAGGTTTTCGTCCAGTTTCCCTGATCCTTGAGCAAATGCTGGGATGGCCTCTTGTTTTGCTTCTGGCCATAAATGTAACTTCATATTAACTTCTCCCCATAGCATGTCACACTCAGTTTTTAACTGTTTTTGACATCCATAAATAAACACATAAATAAACAAACAAATAAATAAAAAAACAAGCAAATATGTTAATAAAAAATAAATAAAAAAAACCTTGTGGAAATTTAACCTCCTTTGAATGAACTTATTAATAAATCATTAGATATCAATTGGTTCTCAGTTTCATTTAGATTCCATTTATGATTCTCTTCTGGCAAATCGTCTATGCATTATTCTATCGACCATACCATAAATCTGACTAATGTTCATCGTGGTCATTTTTCCAGTCTTGTAGTTCAATGTATGGCCATTGGCTACGGAGTTTTGGTACCAACCAGTGTTAATTGCATTGTTATCTCTAGTGATTTTTATATCCAAATAATTTAAGTGATCATTGTTTTCTAGTTCAAGGGTGAATTGAATTTTTTCATAATTATTAAACATTTCTAATATCTCATTTGTTCTATCTGTATGTATTATAAAGAATGTCATCCAGATATTACCTGTAAAAATGTATGTTTGTTTGGGGTAAAATAGTACTTTCCATTCTCCTCATAACAAGTTCAGAAAATGAGCTAAGAGAACCGCCTATAGGAGTGCCATCTATCTGGTGATAAATTACGTGATCTAATATGAATTCAATATTAACCAAGATAAAATGGACCAAAATAATAATTTATGTTTGGGGATGGTAATCAAATCATTTTCATCGAGGCCTTCACTTAAACTCAATAATACAGATAAGGGGAATGTTGGGAAACTTTGCAATGATATCTAAGGAAGTGTGAACTTGTAAGGAAATCTGCACCACTATGTCTAGTAATATAAGCAGTGTAGAGAAAACAATGTAATATGCCGAAAATCGATTATGGAGATGGAAGTACATGTTTTGGGGTATCTAGGCACTAATGAAGTTGTTGTTTTGTGCTAGTTATTGAAAACATACATCTGATACTTTCCAAAATGAATATTCCACGGTCGATCTGGCCTGATTTGAAGCTCTAGGATTTCAAGACAAATTCTTTAAATTTTGATGGTTTTGGGTGTGAAGCCCCATTGACATTTGCAAAATTTTCTCAAAAATTGCTTTAAAAATATCTACAAATTTCTTGTAAGAATAATGGGACAATACACTTTATAAAGATGGCCAGAACAGATTTTCATGGTTACCCTGCTCGACTGATTATTTGTGGGGAAAACACAAAAAAAAAAACAAAGACAAAAAAAAAAAAAAAAAAAATTCGTTCTTCCCCCCCTTTCATTGGAATCCATTATTGATGATGGAGATTTTTCTTCAAATGCAAATTGTTTATTTCATTATGTTCTTTTACATGTTATTAATGAATGTACATGTTTTGAAAATGTTAGTAGTATTCATGTAATTTTGAGTGATTACAAGGTATATTAATGATTTTCTCAAAAATAGCTCCAATTTTTTAATTTAATCATTTTGTAGGTAAAGTGCTATATGCTCTCAATAAGCGGACAAACACTGTTTTGCTATTTTTTGTTTGTTTTTACAAGAAAATAAACAAAACCAGTGGTGCTACAGAGTGGTACAGATTTTCTCATAATAATTGTTTGTTTATTTTCTTATTGTTGTGCATGTAATAATTTAATAATTAAATAATTCTGTAATTATGTCTTTGCCATAAATTTAACTAATACATTTTACAATCTTCTGTGGGAAAAGAATTCCATAAATTAAATAATTTATTTTATCAGAAATATGACTAAATTCTTTTGGGCTTGGAATTGAATATATTTATCAGTGTGCAATACATTGCATTTCTTTTTTTCCAGGGAGGGTCAGGCCATTTGGATGGATGAGAACATTCGCTATGGGAAGACAGACCACTGTCTTACCTTCAATAATCCTCCTCTTTGCACAAGCCGAGATTTTGAAATCAGGGTGCTGGAGGTGTATGGGTTTACTGGAGCATAAAGGACCAGACTGGCAGCTGGGTTTAAATGCTACTTGACAATTGACAACCCTTGCCACTAGTCAGTGCGACTTAAGTGTAAACATGCACTATAAACAATTTGCTGCTATGACAAGCTCTACTGTCACCTGTCAATTTATTATTTACACAAATGCTTCAATATACATCGACATATAAACGAATGAAAACTTAATGGAATTAATACTGTTATAATTATGTTTATTATTTGTTGATTTTTTGTTAATATTTGTTAATATAAATACAGGAGTTTGGGGGCTGCCTGCCTGTCCTCTTGTCCCAAGCTCGTGTCTGTACAATGTGTTTGTTAGTCTGCATATCAATAAGTTTATTGTGTGAAGCTGGGGCTGCCTTGTAGGAGGTGGCTGCGGAGCTGTGGCCTAAGGCAAAGAGCCTCTCTTGGCTGACAGGGCTAGTTCTGACATGGCGCAAAGACACTTATGTAGAGCTGTTAACAGCTGAAAGGAAATGTTGACCAACACTGTTCAATTTTCTTTGACTGAAAAGACTACTTGAAAAGTTTTTCTTTAGTCACAGATAATAGAAGCATATTGTTTTTTTGCTATGCTAATTTAAAATTTATTGTTGACTCGCATTAGATATAACATTGATAATAGTAGCTGCCATCAGTGAAACCAGACAGTGTTGCTTTCAGTTGCAAAGACAGTCTAGTAAGTATTTTTGAAGTGGTAATGCTTATTCTAAGCAAGCACAACGAACATTCAAAAAAAGGGAGTGGCGACGGTCTAATAAGATCCAATATCACTTCCAGATTGGAATTTTCTGTTCTGTAAAAATAAGCAAAATGGATATTACCCAATTTTATTTTAAATGAAGAAAAAAGTATTCCAACAATAATAACAAAGTAAGGCTGTGACCGGATTTGACTTATAAAGATTTGATCTTGTTTTATAACCTTTTAAAAGAACCTTCAAAATTAACCAGATTATTATTTACGTCACTTCTTGCATCTCTTTTAACACATCAGTCTTAAAATAGTTCTTAAACTTATGCCTTATATTAGATAAGAGCCATACTGTTTCCATTTTTCTTGTTTTGTGTGGTGAGAGACGATGTAAACATGTACCTGGAAATATATCCTTTAGGGATATTGCAATTGATCTGTACATGTGATGTAGTGCTACTTCCAGAACTAGCCCTGTACAATTCTTAGCTATGAACTCTTCCTTTGTGTTGGTGTTGGCCCATCCCATAGCAGGACCACCTAGTGTGTCCTGAGATTCTAGTCGACCAAGCCTGTAAACTGCCAGGAGGAGACAAGGGGGTTGTCTGCAAGGAGCCACACACACTGTGCATTTACATATCAAGGACACAGACTCCATGTCCCTCATCTTGAGCTGGCTATTCAAAATAAGAACCAAGTACACCGATTAGTCGGAATTTCTGTGCAATCTTGGGTGCGTTTTTTCTCTGAGAAAACAAATAAAAAAAGAAAAGAAAATTAAGAATTTAAAAGTAATGTTTAGTTGAAAGTTTTTAGTGGATTACGTTGTGATATTTTTCCATTTATCCTTCAATTTTATGTTATTGTTTTCTCTCCTTTGTGCAATAAAAATTGTGCTTGGATGTAGTATGTGTTTAATAACTTTGTAGCTGTAAATGCTACAAAAATGTTGTTTTTTGTTTCTTCGAGGAAAATTCACATCTAGAATATGAGCAGATTTATCTGATTTGCCCTACGTATTTGGCTGTGCTTTGAACACGAGGGCATAGTCAGAAAGTGCTACTTGCTTTAGGTCTTGTTTCCTTTGACCAAGACTGCCTTGTAGAGGCTTTAGTGTACGATGAACGTGGTAAATTGAATCAGTTTGTACAACATATTCCTGGAAAGTACATTTGGAATATGGATCGTACTGATTTTTGGAGCTCACTTTGTCTGTATTGATGTTTCGGTAGATGAAAACTTAAATTCTGTCATTTGTCCCCTGGTAAGTGTTCCAAAATTCAGTTGCTGTAAAAGACATTTTTGTAATTTGTAATGAGATGAGAAATCAGAAATTCTTTTATTACAGAACTTCATTTAAATAGTTTATTTGAAGTGAAGCCTGAAATTAATTTATTCACTGTTCTGCAAGAAAATAACTTACTGTGTTGTCTTAATGTTCCAGAACATGCTCAGTCTATTTGCAAACCTCTTATTCATGAAAATTAATGAAAAGAAAGGTTATTCCAAGTAGTCAGTGGTTTTGTGAGGTATTGTGTTCATCAAAATGTCTGGGGTATTTTGTCTATATTCTTTATTGTTGGTGGCAATTTTAAGGCAATACTCTCAAATTTTAGATTCATACATTGTATTGTTGGCTTCAAGTTATTAAGATCAGATAACTATCGAAGTGGAAACATTATGAAGAGTTCTTTTGCTATGTCTTTACTCTTGGTCTGTTTGGAGTGAGCTCCTGGCCTTTTTTATATTTCATTTTGTAAAGTCTGTGATAACTCAGCTATCTATCTATGTAGATAAAATCTTTAAGTTTTGTATGCATAATTCTTCTAACTGACAGTCTGATAAATTGAATGAAAAGAAAAGGAATTGTGTATTAGCAAGTTAATTTTGTAAGTTTCATTGCTGTATGTATATTATAGAGTAGTTATCACCAAGTGGGTGTGTGCACTGAACGTATTATAGAACTCTGTAATATTGTCAATGGATTTATGTGAGTAATAAAAATGTTCCCTCCTTGGGATGAATGTAATAAAACTGAAAGTTTACAAAAGATTTCTGGTGTTTCTCTTACAGTTAAAAATAAAATGGCACAATGTGTGATTCTCAGGATGGCATTGGTAAGAAGTCATGGAAACTAGAGACACAAGATGTCGATTTTTTGTTGTCAAATAGTCACTTTTGATTTACACCAGAGGTGCATCCAGAATTTTTTCAATGGGGGGGGGGGGAGGTTGGTAACTCTGAAGTTGACATAATATGGTGATGATAGGGGATGAAAGGATGAACACAAATACAACCATGCCTGAGGCGGGACTTGAACCTGCAATCCTCTGGTTCGAGATCTCTATGGCACTACTGCCGTAATGATCTCGGCCATCGGGACTGGCGATATTTTCTTATCAAGATAAAATAAATGATATAACAAAAGACAATAAATAAATATTTTATGTAAAAAAAATATGCTAAATAAATGTACAAGGAATTTTTCCTTAATGTTGAATATAAAATGTGTTTTAATTTGTCGACTTGTTAATATTTGTAACGTTAAAAATTTACTTACAAATAACTTTTGTTAATATGTAAATGCTATATATTTTTGAATATGTATCAAGAAGCTTATGGAGGGAGGTATAATATCGAGGCTTTTCTGTCCCATGAGACCCAGAAAATGAATTAATTTTAAAATATATGAAGAATTTAAAACAAAACCTAAATTTAATATTTCCATGTATATTGAAGTTTTAGAGAATATTATTGATGTATTTTATGTAAATTAGTACAGCCTCTGATACTATAAGAACAGTGATGCAGAAAATATTTTACAACTTTCTCCAACTTATACCATGTGCCAGAGGTATTGTGTGAAATCTTTTTGCCAAGGATATTGTAGACATTGCTGTGGTGTAAATATACTTCCTCAGTGCTGTTAAATACCAGCAGTAGCATTGTGTGACAAAATACTGTGGGTTGGCAGCAGCGTGGCAACAAAATTTATCGGAGTTGTTCCATTGTTACAACCTTGATTCTATATACAAGAGAACATATTGGTTCAATAACTCCAAACATGATTAAAATGTTGAAACAACAAAATTACACTCTTGAGCACAAGAACAAGCTGCTGCATACCAATACCCCTCCCAGGTGAAAAAACTTATCTCCTCAGGTGATGAAGTGAACAGGGACCGAATGCCGAAATACCGATATAGAAATACCTTTATTCATGTTACCGGTATTTTTAGAGTTATTTTACCTTTACACTACATCTGTACCAGTAAAATACCTGTATTTAAAGATATACTGGTGTTTTCTCTTGAAAATACCGGTACCTATTTCAGTAGAATCGTACAGGTGTTTTGGAGAAAATCATTGGGATTTTCTGAGATGGCTCAGAGGAACAACTATGGACACTTCAAAGTTTCTGATCGGGAGGTCAGGGTTCGAGTCACGATGGTGGCGTACGTCCGGCACTAGACATATTCTAGGTAAGTATAGTTCTGCCGTTGGCTGGGAAAGAATTCTAGTGGTCGGGTTTTTTGAACGGTAGTTTTCTATGGTTTCTCTGATCAGTACCAGACGAATGCTGGAGTAGTACTTAAACAAACGGGTCGCTGATCGCGCATATTTTTTTGTTCCTCATTCTTTCGAATTTAAGTACACGCGCTACAGTTATTCTATGCGGCGCGTGAGCGGAAGAGCGTGCATGATCTTTTATTTAATTAATAAAAATTCCGCAAAATTATTAACGAAAGGAAGTTATTTTCTCTATGTGTATGGTGTGTGCTACATGATTTCCATTGAAAATACCGATATAACCTTTATGGAGGTCCCTACCGATATAGACGTCTATTAAGTTATTTTACCGGTATTCAATACCTTTTCGGTCCCTGGAAGTGAATTGTGCTCATGAGGAGGTCCCCATTGGGTTTTTGTTTTCCTGTGAGGATTTCAATGCCTGCATAGGATTTCCATATGGAAAATTAAACCTAAGAAGTTAAATTGGGTATATTTTACCACTGCTCTTGGGTTTGCTGGCTCTGCTAGTTCAGCACACAACTGCGCTCTAGCTGGGAACAAATTCCAAATTGAAGATGAATGTATTGGTTAGATTTTATTCATATTTTCCTTTGGCATTTTTCAATGAAGAGATACTGTCTACCGATACTTCCCTCATTCTGGCCACCATTGGGGATAAGCAAGTAGGAAGACGATGTAATATCATAATTAGTTGTTTCCGGGTTTGTAGGCCGTGGTCCAACGAAGACTGGTCCACACGTTTCGCCTGCAACTGTGGCAGGCATCATCAGTGGCGTTACTGGCGGGGGCGAAGTGTCCTTGGCAGCACCGCGTTGGCTGAGGTACAAGGAGGACACTTCGCCCCCGCCAGCAACGCCTCTGAAGATGCCTGCCACAGTTGCAGTCTCCGTTGAACCACGGCCTACAAACCCGGAAACAACTAATTATGATGTAGAAACCGGCCATGAAAGCCTACATTGTACGTTAAGACGATGTAAGTTTGGGCAGACTTCTTCCGCTGATGGGATCTGCCTTGTACTCCAGCAAGTGGAATGTGGAGAACAAAGCGAACTCTAAGGAGATCCCCTACCACTTATACCATCAGTTCTCCATCATTGTTATCGGAATCATCCACAAGGGTCACAGTTGAAGGGACAAGTTTTTCAAAATCGCGCAAACAAATAATTTCTCAAATCAATCGAAATATTTTCTCAAAAACTGCTTCATATTTTTCAGGAAAATGTTTAAATGCGACCACGTTTTACACATTTTTAATATTCTTTAAGCCATATTTCAGTTCTCGATTAGGGAACTACAAAATTGAGGAAATGTGGAGAAATGTCCTTTGGGCGGCAGTAGTCGGCAACTTAGAAGAGGGCCGGCCAAAACCGAAAAGCTAGCCTAGACTGAGAGTTTTGAAAACTAGCTAGTGCGTGAAAGTCTTTCTGCGCCTTTCTGAAGCATCATTTGCTTTTTGTTTCTTTTTCACTTCAAGGACGTTGCAAAGTGTACCTGTCCTTCGGCCAAGTGCGTTCAGTTTCGAATTTTTGAGGCCTACTATTAAACATTAGATGAATCTCAACAATCTAAATAAATATAGAACACAACGTATATAATTATCATTGAAATTAAATTTATTTTTGACAATAAAATATGGAATAATGTATACAATGATAATAATAGTTGAAAAATCAGTTCAACATAACTGTAGGTGATGTACTATTGAAGATAAAATTGGATACACATGCTCCGATCTTCCCAGAGCAAGCACATTGATTTATTTGATGCTTCCGGGCACGTCAACTTCTATGGTATTTAATTCCTGTTATTGGAGTGAATTTTTATATTCCTGGAAGTGGCAATGTTCCACCACTGGATGGTGAGATCCGGCGCTGACCATTGGCTTTTCGAGTTTTCCTCAACCAGGTATTGCCCACCATCGGGGCACCGACCTTGCCGGGCCTTGCTCTAAGTTCCTGACTTGAGTCAGTTTAGTGCATGTCAGCGTGTGTGTGTGGGGGGGGGGGGGGGGCGAGGGGATGAGGAAAGAAGGATCGCTTGCGGTCCATGGCCTGATTGTTAATGTAATGCTCCGCCATTCGCCTGGTATGTTTGGAGAAACCACGGAAATCTACCGATAGAGCAGCCGGCCGCTAGAATTCTCCTCCAGTCAACGGCTGAATCGACTTCTCCTCCACCACCATCAAGACTCAAACCTATTACATGGATTAGTAGACCGGGAGAATAATGTCTTCCGTAATGTAAGCAGCTTCCGGGTCAATGACCTCCATCTCAAACAGGTTTTTGTCCAGTTTCCTTGATCCATTGAGCAAATGCTGAGATAGCCCCTTGTTTTGCTTCTGGACGTAAATTTAGCTTCACTATACGCACGTTGTGTGTCTCCTTTTGATTCTAATGGTAGAAGTAGAGGTAAAGGAGAGTTACTATTTCGTTAGCAATGCAGAAAAATCATACCTGCAATTCGTTTACGGATGTAAATAAGTTTCCCAAAACTCGGGAACGAAAATGTCTATTTTTTTAAAATATTGCTAATTTCGCACATTTTAAAAGTTTATTTTTATATATTTATAGTTAAAATGATGGGAAGGGATTCTGAAACTCAAGAAAACGTTTGCAGATGATCTTCTCCTCCCATACGTAACACCAGTTTTTACTGGTTACTATAAACAACGTATTAGGCCTTCAACAAAACCATTCAAGGCCAATCACCAGAAAAAAAGAACCATGATTCACTCTTCGTTGTCAACCAATTTTGACGCCAAATTCAAATATAAAATAAATAAATAAATTTTTGAAATTAATTCCGATGTGATAACGTTACTGTACTGTCTCAATTTTCCCTTTAGAATGTGTCTCAAAATATTGTATAACCATCGACTCAGGAAGATTTTCCGCACCATTACATGCGTCCGTATATTCGTACGTATATGGTAAAGTAAAATTGAAGATAGAGATTTTTCCTCCAAATGAAATATGTTGTTCATAATTATTTCTTTCTTTAAATTTGTGTACATTTTAGAAGAATTCGCGAAATATTGCGAGCAGTATGTAGAATTTAAAAAAATACAAAAAGAAGATTTTCTCAAAAACTGCTCTAAATCTTTTCGTTAAACTTCTGGTGCGGATAGTACTAAATGCACTCTATAAGATGACATAAAGGTCATATCGGTATATTCTTTTGTTTTTTCAAAAATTACAAAAATGTAATTTTTTTGACTTGTCTCTCACTTCGTTAATATTTAATTTAGCGGCAATTTTGTTCACATTATTATATTTATGTGTACATGTGATTTTAATAATGTCATACAAAGTTTATCGAAATCTTAACCGTTTTCGTGAAAACTAGCTCAAAATTCCGCATTTGCAGTAACACTCAAACTCTATTTTCTCAAAAACCTTCTAAATTTTTTTCTTTCAACTTTTCGAACGGATACTGCTAATTACTCTTTAATATGACATTCTAACACTCTTTAATATGACATTAAGTTCATTTCGGGATATTCTTTTGTTTAAAATATTACACCAATGTATTTTTGTAGAAAGATCTCTCACGTTGTTGATATGCACATTTCCAGTTATTTGTGAACATCATTGTTTTTTTTAAAAAATTGCTTCAAATTACTTGTAATGAAGGTGATTTCATGTGAAAAAGAGATTCAAATTTCGAATTTAAGTAGCGCTTAAGCACCATTTTCTTAAAAACTGCTCCAAAGTTTTCAAAGGAAATTACCATTTATGACGAGGTTTTACTCTTTTATTATTCCCAAAATAATATTTCCGTTCTTTTATTAGGAAATCGAAAAATTAAGAAAATTAAATAAAATGTACTTTCGGCGGCAATAGATGGCAAAATAATAATAATATGTGGCAAGTTCGTATAGCAAGCCGGACCAATGGAAATAGAAAGCTAATACGGAAAAGTCTGTGCCATTCTGTAGCACCACTAATTATGTCTTGGCGCGTGAAGTCCTGTCTTCACGATGGAATGTCTCATGGCGTTTCGCGTATTGCCGTGAGATATTCCATCGTGAAGGAAGGCCCTCACGCGCCAAGAAGTAAAAACCCAAGTATAATTACATGTCCGATGGCACCTCAGCCATCGACGCGGCGTCACCCGGATAGCCCAGATCATATCCTACGATTTTTACGTCAAAAATAAATATTGTGTTGGCACAAAAGCATGATTTTTACAACGTGTTATATTGAAATTGATGTGTTGAAATGTTTTATTAGAAATATTTTTATCCCAGAAATATTTTCATAGTTCTTGTAAAGTTCGCTGTTTTAATAGTTAGCCACATTGTCGAACAAATATTTTCAAAGCGAAAGTTCTAAAATTAAAATAAAAAAAAAGGGTGCTTTAAAATTTCTCAACCGAGTTAATAAAACGTATTAATTTTTGGAACAGCGCTCCTTAATTAAATTAGATACTTCACTATTATGTATAAAAGACTTGCATGTTTTAGCGATAGAAATAATATTATTAAAGATTATATCTTCATCCACAACTAGCAAGAATACATCGTCTCCGAATTATTTATACAGTGAGGGTCAACTATGTTGTTTGTATTTGACGAGTGCAATAATCATCAAAAACGTAAACACACCGCCGAAAAACATTTTTTCGAAATAAAGAAAGCAAGAGATTTATTTTGTTTCAATAACAGCTCTAAATATGGCATTTTGTTCTTTATTATACAAATGAAAAACAAATTAAGCTAATGCAAAGAAGGGCATGACGTAATATAAAAGTGCCGATTCGAAGGGTTATCGATAGTGCAACATGTGAAAATGCCGATAATCAGAAATATAAAATGAAATAATGACTGCAAATTGTAATGGAAATCTAAGGCATAACTGCTTGCTTTTCTCTAATTCGACATAAATCTTTCAACCAATAATGAACAAAAACTATTTGTTGACCTTATAAAAGCACTGCAATATTTACATTTTTATGTCTTCAAATGTGCTTCTGTATATTCACTCAGAATAACACATATAATTGTAGTATATTATGAACACAAAAATATGACAGAATTCTCTCGATTTCACATTTTGAGAACAGAGCAAGCACCGAACGATGAAAAGTTAGTGCGCTGTCGTGAGAATTCGAGAGAGTATCTACTAAATACTTAATCTTTTCTCCCTCTCTCCGAAGCCGCCGGTTTGGAAGCTGAGTGTGGGCGGTTGGAGACGTAGCTGTCGATTCTGATGCCGGTGGCGTCGGCGATGGACACGAAGGCCTCCGAGGCGAAGTACTTCACGTCGAAGTCGTTGTCCATGCACAGCTGGTCCAGGACGGGCTTGATCTGCGTCTGGAGGCACGTGGGGCTCACCAGCGGAGAGATTTTCACCAGAGTCTTGGTCACGTTGAAACGCACGTTCGCCACGTTGTCCGACGCCAACGACAGGACAGTGGGCAGAAGGAGGCGCATGGTGATTTCGGCACCGCACACCTCGGCGATCTCCCCGATGCACAGGAGGCACATCATGCGGTGCAGGTAGTTGGGCTCGCGAGCGAGCGACAGCACCTTGGGCACGACGGCGCTCTGCGCCCACTCGGGCCCGAACTTGAGGATGAGCTTCTTGAGCGCGCCGGCGGCCGCTTGGCGCACGGCGAACACGTGGTCCACCAGCCAGTTGCAGCACAGCGCGTTGAGGCGCTCGTCGAACAGCTGCGCGCCCAGGTGGCCCGCCAGCGACGGTAGGTACTCGATGATGGCGAGGCGCACGCGCCACTTGGCGTCCTCCGCCAGCTCCACCACGGCCGGCAGCAGCGACTGCGCCACCTGCTGCACGCCGATGACGTCGTTGACGCAGCCTATGTGCGACAGCACGTTGAGGCGCACGTCGGCCGCATCGTCCTTGAGCTGCGCCAGGAAGAGCGGCAGCAGGTGGTCGACGGTGCACTGCTTGCCCAGCAGCGGGCTCAGCCCCGGCAGCGCCGCCGCCAGCTCCGCCCGCACCTGCGCGCTGGGGTCGCCCACCAGCTCCTTCACGTGCGGGAGGATCGTGTTGACGATGATGAGGTCGCGCTGGTACGGGTCGAGGTTCTGGCAGAAGGCGAGCACCTTCCCGGCGGCGGCGGAGCGCACCTCGGCCTCGGCGTCGTTGAGCAGCACGGGCAGCACGGGCACCAGGTCCACCTTGCTCACCTCCTTGCCCAGCGCGCGCTGGCACTCGATCAGCTTGTCCGCCACCGAGTAGCGCACGCGCCACGACGAGTCCTCGGCGCACTGGCGCAGCAGCGGCACCACGATCTGCTTGGCGTCGTCCTTGGGCAGCAGCGCCGCCGCGCCCACGCACGCCTCCACCGCCAGCAGGCGCACCGAGTCCTGCTCGTCCTGCGCCAGCGCCACCAGCGTCGCCACCAGCTCGCCCTTGACGTGCTCGGGCTCGACGACGCGCGCCACCTCGGCGAAGCGCGCGGCGGCGGCGCGCCGCACCATCGGCGTCTCGTCCTGGCACAGCGCGCGGAACAGCTCGCGCAGGTCGGCGCGCAGCGACGCGTTGACGCGCTGGTAGCACGCGCTCAGCAGGCCGCAGGCCGACGTGCGCGACGTGAACCACTCGCCGCCCGCCAGCGACTTGACCAGCGGCACGAAGTGCGCCTCGAGGTCGGCCGAGCTCTGCAGCGTCGCCAGCGCGCGCAGCGACTCCACCGCCTTGTCGCGCACCACCGTCTCGTCCGCTGTCGCCAGCTGTTCCAGCGGGCGCAGCAGCACGTGCACGTGCTCGGGCCCGCCCACGTAGGGCGCGAAGGAGCCCAGCTGCTCGGCCAGCGCGAACAGCACCTCGTCCTCATCGTAGACGGTGTCGGTGAGGAACGGGATGAGCTCGCATCGCGTCTTCTCCACGCCCAGCGCGAGGGCGATGGTGGACAGGCGCTTGATGGCGTTCAGTCGCACCTGCGAGTCTTCGTTCTTCAGCTCGTCGAACAAGACTGCGATCGGGTACAACAAAGAAGAATTATCGCTCGCAGTCATTTCATCACCATTCCTGAAGAGTTTTGGAGATGAATTTCGAATCCTTCGAAGACGACTCCAATCCGAACTTCTGCGACAAAATATCGCCAAAGTTATTAATCTCAGGTTACAGAAATTTTCACTCACGTTTTATCAAAACAAACGGTTTTGTGTTCAATTCACAGTTACCTTGGAGATGAATTGTTTATGAGTTAATGTCTTCGAGTCGTAGTGTTTCACTGTTTTTGTTTTGATTCAAGGAACCTATCTAAAAATATAAGTTGCTGTAAAGGAATAAATGCTGTTATAGTGGAATCATTTATGCAAATCAATCATTCAAATTTGTTATAAAATAAATATTTGCATTAGATTGACCAATTTGGTAGCCAGTGAAAACAATCGTGGAACATCGAGGAAAGAATTTACTTCAGAAATTGTGGACAGATGAGATAACTCGACCTGTTGCAAGAGTGGTATTAACGTTTTTAATCAATGTCACACATTACTTTCTGTTATCTTTACAGTGTTACACAGGCGCTACGGCCGCTAATTTCTTCAATGTCTCAGATTTATAGTATAATGAAAAAATCGATCGAAGCAATTATTTAATACATTTTAAAAACATTTTTGTTCTTTGTAATACAATAAACTAAATTATATTTTGTGAATATGAGAATTTTCGCTTTTTTAAGCCTGACTCTATCTTGGTAATACTGGTAAACAGCAAAATTCACTAAAAATGGTATGCGTATCACATACACACGTCACATTACCTACATTTTCATATGTTGCATGGCTACAGCAAAAGCGTATACTTCTTCTTCTTCTTCTTCTTCTTCTTCTTCTTCTTCTTCTTCTTCTTCTTCTTCTTCTTCTTCTTCTTCTACCATAACAAGAGTTTGGAGCCAATGACAATTCCGAGACTCAGAACTGCTCTGACCTCCTCATTCTAGATCTTCCGACCTCTCTGTAGCCTGTAGTTTCATATAAAAGACCTAACTCCGGTAGCATATTTGTTCCATCATGTTTACATGTTGGAACCATTTCTGTTTGTATATTTAACAACATTTACTACGCTATCAATATTTAACCTTGATCTTATGTCTTCGTTTAGAACTCTACCCCTCAAGGTTAGACCCAAGAGAACTCATAAGAAATTCATTTAGGAAGCCTCTAATCTTCTTTCGACATTTTTCTTTAGTGTCCACATTTCCCTTGTGAAGCAGAGAGTAGTTTGTGATCACATTGTGAAATCTCATTAGGGTGCTATTCAAAATATTGTGTTTAAAATGCCTCTTCATAAATCCATTAAACTTATTGTATTTACTTACATTCTCTTGCATTTCGGGGTTGATATTTTGCAGCCAAGGTAAGTGAAGTTGTATACTTGTTCAATAATTTGGTTGTCGATAACAATTTTTATTCTTCTCAAATATTTTCCTTGGCATGCCAAACCCTTAGTTATTTGACTAGTCATCCTTAAATTATAACTCTGTCACACTCGGCTGAGGCATGCTATATTTCTTTGGATATCCTATTATAGGTAGTCAAAAGAACTCGATCGTCTGCATAAGCCAGATGTGTGATTAATTTATTTTTCGTTATTGGTATACACCGTGAATTCGTGGTAAACCAAAAATACATAATTTTGTTCATATATATGTTGAAGAGGGTGGGGAACAAACCACACCCTTGTCTTAATCCTTGGTTGACTTTTAGATTTGATATTTTGCCATTATTCATCTTAATACAAATTTCGGTGTTATGGTATACGATTTTAATAGCATTTATCAAGTTTCCCTTATTCCAAAGCTCTCTAAAACACCCCATAATTTTGATCTGTCCACACTGCCATAAGTTTTGCAATAATCCAGGAACGGCTTGTATCTAGACAGCTCTGCTTTTCTCTAATATCTGTTTCAGGATGAAAATTGCATCACTGCAGCTTCTTCCTTTCCTGAACCCATTAATATCTTCTTGCAGTATGTTCTCCATGTCCTTGTTAAGTCTGTACTTCAATATTGTGGTATAAAATTTTGAAGCTGATGTCAATAAGAAGATTCCGCGATAATTATCACCGTCTTCTTTTGACCCCTTTTGTGTATATTGATTATTAAGGCTTTGATCCAATCTGCAGGCACTTTGCTTTCAGACCAAAGATTGTTAAAGAATTTGAATAAGGATCCTTTCATCTGATCTGCTTATTTCCATAGTTCCATTGGCACTTCATCCAGTCCCGCAGATTGCCTATTTTTGCTTTTATTCAGCGCTATTTGTTACAAAACCATTGTTATCTCTTCATTATTTTGCATTTTCTCTGTCTCTACTTTCCCAATATTGTCTGAGAATAAAAGTTTCCTGTAATGTTCAACTCAGTTTTGTTCTGAGATAAAATGTACATGCGTATTATCTCGTTCATTCTTGGACATATTTTTGAAAATTTTAAAACCAATTCTTTGAGCGCCAGTGGTATCATGCTCTAACCTTATACACAGAAGTCTTACTTTAAGGTCTCTTTGATTTCCTCATTCCATATTTTCAGTCTTCCAGATCTTCGATTCCATTGGAAACCAAGGCATTCTTGATGTTGACTGTAGCACTCAATTGATCAGGTTCTTCCAATCAGATTCTATGTCGCCTGAGAGTGGTTTAAGATAGTCATTCACTCGTTTTTAATCTAAGCCTTTTATTCTGTCTTGCTCCAACAGCTGAACTTTCAGTTTCTGCGAACGAATCCTGCTTTCCCTCGTACTCTTCTTATATTTGTAAGGAAGGCGAAAACTACTTTGTGGAGGGAAATGGTCAGATCAAATATCTGGACTGCTGTAAACTCTAGTATCTGTGATAAGCGATCTGAGTTTGCTATTTATAATTTCATAATATAAAATTGATTGCATACCACGAACTACCCATGCATATTTATGGACGTCTTTATGCCTATAATGGGTATTGGATATTTTGAGATTATTAAAAGTACAGAAGTCTAATACTTTCTTCTCATTAGCATTAAGACTCATTTCACCAAACATTCCAACAACTTCGTTTACAGAACACCTCCTACTGTGGCTAAAAGAGTACAGCACATTTAATTCTAAAGAGTTCTACTCAATTTCTACTTTTTAAGAAAATTTATAATTTGTGATTTTATATGCAAATAATCGTGACTAAATAAAGCAGAAGTTTCTGAAGTTATCTAGTCATCAATCGTTTTATCCTTTTTCATTTTTTAAAATCCCGCGTTCTCTTTAATTATTTCAATTTTTTTCAACATTTACTAGATTTAATGTCCAATTAATAGATATGTTTTTGGATGATTTGTCGGAAGTTGGGGAGGGGTCGATGCGGCGCGTAGATCGAATGCCTACGTCTAATGCAATGATCCAAACTGTGAAATTATTTGTCCTCTTGTTAAAACTATTTCTAGCTACAAGGACCGTATTTCACTGTATATGTGCTTCTGTGCACTACTATTCATACACTTTTTTAAATTTATGCTCATTGTAACTCATAAACAATATTTTAAAACAGTGGCGTTTAAAACAATGTATTATGTAATGTTAACTAACAAATTTACAATATAATAATTTATTTTTCACTAAGAATATTATAATCTTTAAATGCCAACATGACGGAGGACAATGAGGGGAGTCTCTCACATCGAAATTGATATAAAAATGAAATACAGGCAATTCCAAGAAGGGTAATGTTTGGCAGCACATATTTGTGACCATTTTCCCTCATTATTAAGCTAAATAAGAAGTACCAACAGGCAAACATATCTTACGATATTTTATGGGTAAATATGACAGTATTTTGAGTTTTGTTAAATAGAACGCAAAGGACTTAATCTTTTTTATACAATATCGTAAATGATTATGAAGAATTAGTGCCCGTTGATTTGAAATTAGAAATATATTACGTACTCTTGTCGGAAATCAGAGAATTAGAGCAGAAAGTGATGATGATTTTTAAGAATAAAATGTTTTAGCTTCTATAGAACCGTCTTATTTTATTAAACAGTGTTTATTAAAACTATTACTGTCATCATCAAACAAAAAAGATTATCCTATGGACGTTTGTCATACGTTCATGGACAATTATCGTTCGTAGGCACCTATATTACGCTTATGATTATCATCAAGATGGTCGCAGGACAAATGCCAATATGGGCTTCTATTTTTGGCAATATTTTCCAGGAAATGATTAGATATCCGTACTTGCGGGCATTCTCGATTACGTTCACAATGTCTTTCTTTGTAAGTAGTGTTCGTGCTATTAGCGACATATACAGAATTCACAGTGACTTTTAACATTAGAATTTCAAGAGTTATTACATAATGGATCAGAAATTGGATTCTTCTGATGATAGCGATGATTTTCTTCTTGAACTGTTGTCTAGTTTGAGGAAAGAAAATTAAATCGAAGAGATTAATAATGATGCGAATGCTTTTGTTCGTGAGACTTCTCAGTTCGAGTTTTCACTTCCTTTAGAAATGTGTAAATCTGATAAACAACCGTAATTACCAGTGTTTGAGAAAATTAGTGAGATAAAATTTCTTGTAAATGAATTCTCAACTGCACTAGACTATTTTTCATTTTTTTTACCACAGCATATTTTGAAAAATAAAGGCAGAAATAAATAGATACGCACCTGAAACCCTTTCTGAACTTCAAAAATATATAATTGCACAAGTATTGTTGTCATTTGAAGTTGTCACAGCGTTTCCCCTCCATATTTTGTAACATTGTTACTTTCGGAAACATATAAAATAGACATGTGTTTCTTTGATTTCCATTCTCACTACAATCTTATAATCAAATGGTTATAAAATACATACAGACTTAAGGTGAAAATATAATACTACAATAGTTTATCAATTTCAAACCGATATGTACGACAGGTTTCATTTTACATTTTAAATATTAGCAATATTGCCCAGGACACAGGAGTTAACTACGTGGCGTATCCCTCAGGATCGAATGCGTTCACACACTGCTGTTCTTTCAAATACACTAAACACTCCACCATTATAACGGTATCTACAAAAAGAAATTTTTCATCCCAAACCGAAAGAAAATTAACCAGTATAGATTGCTTCCCACTCACATTCCCTGAAACATCGGCAAAGGCTCACTGGTTTTCGTTATCGGCGACAGCCGTCTGCCAATACCTACTAATACTAGTAATACCTACTAATACTAGGTATAGCATCTGCTCCTCCCTCCCCTTGTTGCTAGCATCGCTTCTTAGAGAAGGCGATCGTGAAGGGAGCCAGAGCTCCTGTGCAATTTGTTCGCTAGTTGGCAAACACGCTGAGACTTTCGGACTCAGTACTGAGACTCAGAGATTGAATTTTTATTTGTTTGTTTTCAGTTTAATATTCATTATAAATTAAACAGTGTCATTGTAAAATTAAATTTTGTTGCCCATGGATTTTATTTTATAGACTACTAAACCAGTCGCATCTATGTTTAAAAACATCGATGGGTTTTGATTTATGTTTTAATTTTGAACATCGATAATTGTAGCATCGATATCGCATCACCGACCGGCATCAGCAATGTAATTTTGTACCGACCGCCACTGGTATTACCCCAGAGATTTGGTAGTCTCACAATAGAGTGAAAACAACTTGGCTTGCCTACTCTTCACTGTGAAAATAATACAAATAAGCTTCTAGCATATTCATTTATAACATTAATTTGACAAAAAAGTCTCCCACATCGTAATAACAAGAGCTCAGTAGGTAGAAATACACAATTTTTACTCACCATATTGTATACTTAGGCTCGGCCTAGTGGTGATGCTGGGAATTAACAACACTACAGCAGCTGTTCCCTCTTAAACGTCAGCAGTGTCCGTTACCAGTGAACAGAGTGCAGTTATTGT